GCACATTCATTTTGGTTGGTTCACCATGCACATGCTTCCCCCTTGAGTTTGTCTCACTTCATCACTACAAGGCATCGCCCCTTTTCTGACGGTACTGACCTATTTGGTTCTCCAGCTCTCCAATAATTTTCTTCGACCCCTTGCATGCAGTGGATGAGCTTAGTACGAAACAGATAAAGATCTGGTGTGGGTTTTCTCGAACGTCCCACAAAAATAGTGTTTGCAACAGTAATGATACAGCAGAATATCACATTCCAAATCTTTATCTCAGAAGCATCTTTCTCCCAACCACCGACAGTTGTGATTGAAGTTCTTGTATTTCTATCCTGAATGGTAGACATCATTCTAGGTTGATTTTGGTTTTTTTAATCATATAAAATATATGCTCCTTGCTATTACCATGCCCAAAGCTACTTATAAAATATTATATTACATTATAAATATACAAACCGACGTAGAATTTTATATTATGAATTCTAAAATTTAAGGACGAAACGAAAACATGTTATCAATAAAAAAATATAAAGAAAAAATATATAATATATGATAATCTAAATTTTTTAGGGAGGACGAATACCCTAACCGTCTCTCCTTTGGTTCATCTCTACATGTGTCACGTATTGTTCAAAGCCTACCGCTACCGGTGACCCAAGTCCAGAACCCAGTTCTCCTTGGTTTTTCCAATTGCATGATTCCGGGCCTTGTATTATTTTCGAGGTTAGGTGATTTGAGTTCAAATCATTTTTTGTTTTGAATTTGCATACTATGGATTTTGGTTATTTTGAATTTTTTTTCATGTTCAATTTATTTTCAAATGCAAGACAATCTCGAGTTATTTATTTTTGTAACCAAAATAAGCTACATCAAATTCAAATTTAAAACTAATTGATTCATAACATGATTATAACATTCTAGATAGACATTTAAAAGGATTTTGAATATGTTTATGCACTTAATTTCCTTATTTATTTTCTTCTTCTAATCTTGAATGTTTTCCACATTGTTTGAAGACGTTGATTGTTAGTTTGACTAACGATTTTTATCTACAGATGGATCATTTTAGCACAAAATAAAATGTTGAGAGTTCAAATACTTTAAAAAGAATAAGAGTGTGACTATTTAATCAAATACTAGAGACAACTTTTTAGGCATAATGCAATAAAATAATCCTAATGTTGACAGTATTGTCAAATTTACCCGTATTTTTTTTAGAATATTTAACCACTCAACAACGCCTGATGCGCTTACCAAGCACATACAACTGAATGTGTAGGTTTAAAGGAAATATTAGAAACCAATATGGCAGAAACCAATATGGCTGGGAGGGGACTTGAACTTGGTTATAAGGTGAGAAAAGGCAAGGGGTTTGCCCAGGTCAAACTGCTTACTTGGTTAAATTATGAAAACAAAATCATATTTAATAAATACTTAAATTTGAATTTCAAATTAAAAATGCCTCGGCAATAAGTTAAAACCCTAGCCAAGACCAAGTCAACCGCCATTATCCGCCACTTCTCCAATGTCGTCGTCGTCGCTTCTTCTACAGAATACGAGGAACCAACAGGAATCACCATGAGAGGTGTGAAAATTCTCTCCCGTTACGGGAACCCTCACTCAACGTTTGAATCTCTACGGTTGGGAATCTGAAATCGTCGTTGAAACAGCCCGAGCACAAGTCGTAGTTTTATAGTTGAGTTACCAGTAGTTTCTTTTCGGTTTTTCCTTTTTCAAAGGAATAAGCTACTCTTCGAGGCAATTACCCATGGATTTTCAAGGAAGATAACAAAGAGAAATAGGAAAAATAAATAGTACTATAAAATTAATGTAGATTCAGGCTTTAATTACCGAGTGGTGACTGGTAAGGCAGGGTTGGTTTTTAGCATAATTTTAGAGTTCTCATCTCCAAATCTCAGCCGCCAGACACGATCTATATAATATTATAATGCGTCAGATTTCTCGGTGGATGCTGTTTGTATAGCTCCAGTAGTTTCCCAGTAATCCATATTTAACATTACTCCAAAGTTGCCTAAAAAAACACATTACTCTGCTTGTCGACGGAATGGGAGCCGCATGTGAGTTGACAATGAAGGAAATGGAGTATGACGAGAAGAAGATTAAAAGTTTGCAAGAAAGGTTGTTGAATGGGATTAAGGATAAGATTGATGTGGTGGTGGGGAATAGAAGTATGAAACAAACCGTTTTTTTAATTTGAAATTCAAATTTAAGTATTTATTAAATATGATTTTTTTTTCATTATTTAACTAAGTAGGTTGGTTTTATGGTAAAACCCTTGCCCTAAGTTCGAGTCCCATCCCACTCATAATGATATTAATATTTTCTTTAAGACAATTAGAGAATGACCGTATAAATATAAAAATAAATAATATTTTATATTTTTATTTAAAATTTTTTGGACGTATCACTACCACATCATCATGTACCATGATTTGGACAGCCACGTCAGTATCTTTCTCTATGTGTACGTGCTTGGTCAACATCAAATATTGATCGTCAGTTGATTAACGATTTTCATCCAACGTGGGTTGTTTTTGACCCAAAATGAAACATTGAGTAGTCAAATGTTCCAAAAAAATACAGGTAAATTTGACAATACTATCAAATGTTATGATTATTTTATTGCATTATGCATTTTTTATATACTTACAACTATGTTAAAGATTGTGAAATTTTAGGTGATCTATCTAAAGGGATAACCACTAGATTTTCTATTAAAAATGTATGTTGAAATGCATAAAGCTTAAGAATATTAAAGAAGCATTAGATGATGTATACTAGATTATGACTATAAAAGATGAGCTAAATTAATTTGAGAGATATCAAGTTTATATATTAGTTGAAAGGTCTAACAATAAATCTATTATAGATACAAAATAAGTTTGTAGAAATAAACTAAAAAAATGATAAGACGATGAGAATAATAAAACAATGATGCACTTGTTGCCCAAGATTACACTAAAAAAGAAGGAATAAATTTTGATTAGACATATACTCTAGTAGCTAGAAAGGAAATCATTAGCGTGCTACTTACTTTTGTGTAGATAAATGTGTACTTCAACAAACTTTTACAAAGATAAAAAAATAAATGTGTAGATGTTAAATTGTATAGATTAATGATTGATCTTTTAATTTATCTTATTATAAGTAGACGAGATATAATGTTTATTGTTAGTTTGTGTATTAGATATTGATCTTGTCACAAATAATCATATTGACATATAATTAAAATCTTTAGATACTTTAGAGATACTCCTAATTTAGGTATTTGATATCTTAAAAACTAAGACTTTAGTTTTCATATTTTTTTAGATGTGAATTTTGAAGGTTACAAATAAGATAAAAAAAGATGCATGTCAATTCATTAATACATGTTAATTTTATATTTTTTTAAAAATAAAACAATGTCGTATTATTAAACAATAACTTATGATATAGTAATAAGATTAATCTTTAATGATTTTTCATTTTTCAATTTAACCATGTCGACAATGTTTTTTACCCGAGTGGAGAAAAACTTACAGTATGACTTTGGAAAATGATGAAATTTCTTTGAAAAGATTTGTGAAATGAAATGTTGGAAGTCGCCACCAATCATTTTTAAGGTACAATTGGAACACATAAAAGCATGTAATTTTAATAAACATTTTATTTTATAAAAATACTAAATTTTGTCTGTGAAAATTAGAAATCGGGTTCAGGAGTCGGATACGCGTGGGGAAAGATTAGCAGCCCCACAACGCCAAAAAATTTATACCTAGTCTATTTCCTTATATTTAAAATTGGAAATTTGAGTTCAATGTTTTATTTAATTTAAAATTCATTATGCATGCAAGGTTTTGAAAAGAATGTCGATTCACTTCAGGAATTAATTACTAGTGGTCACCCCCTGAGCATAATGTAGAGGATATACTAATAACTCCCTAATAAATGAGCATTGTCTTGTTTTACAAAACATGATATAATCACACAATTTATTATTAAACCTAATTACACTAAGTAAATTAATTAAAGCATCTCTCTAACTTAAAGTGTCAAATTATGAAATTTGAAGAGCCTAAAGGACTAAACCTAAAATAGAGGTTCTAATACTAACCCTAATTGATTTTATAAATTATTTTGTCGAATAGTTGAAATGGTCCTCCGGGCATTTCAAATGCGAAAGCCAATTCTGATTATTTTCTAAGTATAAAAGTTAAGGACTAAGGTGTGAGAAATCTAGGTCCAAAGGTTTAAATCTAGAATATAAGGCTCAAATTATGGACTAAATTAAAAAAAAACCTAAATCTAAAGGATTATCCTAAGATTTTAACTAATTAAAGAAAAATACTAACTTAAAGGCAAATGAAAAAAAAAAAAAATTAAAGAAATAAAATTAAAAGTTTACAAATTACAACATGAATTTACTTAACGAAATTAATACTAGGACTAATTAATAAAACATTACATCGAGAGACTAAATTAAAACATACAAAATTGTTTAGGGGTTAGATCTAAATTGATTATACAAATTTCATAATAGTGACTAAATCAAAAACGTTAAAGTTAGGCATGTAATTTCATAATTAAACCAGTGACCTCAGTGCAAAAACACATCTAAACTATAGGGATTAAAGCATGAATACTATATTTCAACCGACATAAAATACATTAACATTTTAAAATTCATATTTATACAATCAGGATTTTAAAACTAACCAAAGCCCGAAATAATCATCATAAGTGACTAACATGCAATTTCATGCTAAATGTTTAAGAACCTAAAAATAAATAAAGCTTAAAGTTACGATGGCCTTAAAACAATTAACCCCAAATCTAACTTTGTATTAACCTAGTCTAAACTTCACGCGTTCTGTATAGTCAAAAGCAATAAAGTTGATTTTGTCGTAATGGAAAACCTAGCGCCGTAGGAGGATCGCCTACCAAAGAAGGCACGCAGACTTGACGAAGAGCCACCGGACGTAGGCGGCACTTCTCCCAACCATATGGATATCGAGACGATCAGCAAAGCCACCCTAGAAACTTCGCCTGGCCCAACATCCTATCGCGATACTCTACTCAAAGATAATCCCACAGATCCTTCGATTGATGAAGAAATAATGGATGAGGAAGATGTCGAAGTCTTTGAAGACGATGTCGTTCGTGGTGTCGTCGATGGTTTAATATCCATTGATTTCTCTGACCGAGTCCAAGCCATGGCCAATAAGAGTTTCGATCAGATTGTGGTGATGAAGCTACTTGGGAGGCGTTTTGGCTACACAACCCTTCGAAATAAAATTTATGATATATTGAAACCATCTCAACCCTTTCGCCTCATTGACATAGAGAACGATTACTTCATTGTTTCGTTGCGAACACGATTAGATTTCTTGACAGCCCTCTCCGATGGTCCATGGATAATCTTCAGACATTATTTGACTGTTGAACCGTGGTCGCCTGACTTTTCCTCTTCACAGCTATTTCCTCGTCGAATTGTGGCATGGATCCGGCTCTCGGGATTATCAGTAACTCTTTATAAACGTAGTCTCATCACTGAAATTGGCGAATGCATTAGGAAGGTTGTTAAAATTGACTACCAAATAGAAACGGGGTGTCGAGGACGCTTTGCACGAATGGCGGTGAGTGTGGATCTGGGAAAATCGCTAACCTTGAAGATATTAATCAATGGTTGTGTACAAATCGTTGAATATGAATCACTGCCTACCATCTGCTTCTCTTGTGACCGATACAGACATGTTAAAGACATCTGCCCTGAAAACACAGTTAAAGACCAACAAGAATCTGCTACTCCAAAAGAACAAGTTACTGAGGCACAATTGCCGAATGCCAACCAAAAATCCAAACCCCTCGGACCATGGATGGTTGTTGAAAGAAGGTAAAAGAAAAACTTTAAAAAACCTCCTACGGATAGCGAGCAAAATATGGAGACTAATGGATTGAGATTCAATCCTCTATATGAATCCACTGATGATGCAAATACTACTGCCTTTGAACAGCCAAACCAATCTTCAAAATCCAACCAGGTTACTCATTCTCTTTCTCTGGCACCTCAAGCACAGTCGAGTAATGCACGCTCCAACGATCATCATGTTGCAAAGAGCAAGACTACATTTCATGTCTGTAAACCTTTAACGATCCCCAAGGTAACTGCTAGATCCTCCAAAGGTTACTATAGGCAGTCAAGTCATAAGCCCCGCCAAAACACTGTGGAACCACGCGTCTCAATACTAGATAGATCGAAACACTCGACTATCGTACTATCAGAAAACACAAATCCGAACACTGCAGATGATATCATCTCGTATACCACACAAGGGAACTCCCAACACAAGTTAATTCCACGTAAGCCACCGGATACAAACCAAGCTCAAGTAAGTGATGAAAAGATGGTAAACTCACTAATCATGCACAATGCACGAATGCCATGTAGAACAATTGCATTGAAAGCCAGCCGGTTCCCATGCTGGAATGATCTGGTTTTTTTATACTTACCTCTCATTATGGTTGTTAAACTAATAAGTTGGAATGTTCAGGGGTGTGGCCATCCTCATTTTCTCCTAGTCTTTTGGAAATATTTGCGTGACATTAAACCAGATTTAGTAGCTATTTTCGAACCTCGGATAAGTGGTGACAGAGCGGATGTTTTTATCGATGCCACCGGGCTCCCTCGCTCTCATCGTATTGAAGCAACATGTTTTCAGGTGGCATATGGTTATGCTGGCATGATAAAATTCAAGTGGATATACTTCTCAATCATCTCCAATTCATCCACTTCCCTATCTCTACCACCCAAGGAAATTTCTCGACTTTAGTGTCATTTATATATGCTAGTCCAAACTCAACAAAGAGGAAGTTGCTTTGGCCTCATCTTCGGTCCCTAGCTGGGTATATTACCACCCCTTGGGTTATTTTGGGAGATTTTAATGCCACACTTACTGCTTCCGACAGGAAGAATTGTGCGACTACTACTCGACCTTGCAGATATTTTCAGGATTTTGTTTATGATTTTGGTATCCGTTACATGGGGTTCCAAGGTCCTGAATTTACATGGAACATGGGATTATCTTATGCTCATCTTGATAGAGCTTTATGTAATAGCAAATGGGATGAATCTTATCCCGAAACAGCCGTACACCACCTACATCGAATGTGGTCTGATCATAGACCACTTCTCCTTTGTGTTGGCAGCCCTATGGATAATATTTGTCCATCTCAATTCAGGTACTTCTCTGGCTGGTTACAACACGATGACTTTTGTCGAATGGTGGAGGATAATTGGGTAAACTGTGAAACTCTTTCAGGCACTATGTCCTATTTTTCTGAAGCAGCAGATACATGGAACAAAACAATGTTTGGTTATATCGACACAAAAAATAAGATTATTATGGCGAGACTTCAAGGAGTGCACAGAAGCCTTAATAGTTTCCACTCGAATTTCCTTATCAATCTTGAAGCCGAGCTTCTCATCAAGTTAAAAAAACTCTTAGATCAAGAGGAAACACTTTGGAAACAACGATCGAGAGTCCATTGAACTACACAAGGTGACCGCAATACAAAATACTTTCATAGACGTGCCGTACAACGAAAGCAGAAGAATCAAATCCTGTCACTAAAACTTCTTTCAAATGACTGGTGCTATGACACACATATACTCAAGGAAGAAGCAGTTAATTATTTAATGAATATTTATGCTTGTGATGAGGAAATGGTAGGAAAATTCCCTATTTCAGGATGCTTTCCGATAATTCCAGAATATCTGCAGGGCTCCATGGCTATCACTCCAAATGATATGGAAAATTTTGAAGCTCTGAAAGATATAGCCCCTCTAAAAGCTCCTGGCCATGATGGCCTACATGCAAAATTTTTCCAGAAGCAGTGGCACGTAGTGTCTCATTCTGTTTGTAGCATGGTTAAAAAGGTCTTTGCAGGAGGTGATATTGAAGCCGATATAAATAAAACCATGATTATTTTAATCCAAAAATAGAAGCTCCAATAACTTTTGCTGATTTTTGCCCCATCAGCCTATGCACTGTCATGTATATGCTCATCACCAAAATCATCGTTTGCCGCATTAAACACTTGATGCCTATCTTAATCATGTCGAATCAAACGAGTTTTGTCACTGGGCACTCTATTACAGAAAATGTTATTATAAATCAGGAGGTAATCCACTCTATGCGGTAACTCAAGACAAAACAAGGTTGGATGGCAATTAAATTAGATCTCGAAAAAGCTTTTGATTGTCTCCGATGGGATTTCATCCAAGATTCGCTCACTAACACTTGCTTCCCAATTAGCACCATCCGAGTCATAATGCATTGTATCACTTTGGCCTCTATGCAAATCCAATGGAATGGTGAATACACTCTAGATTTCAAACCACAGCGGGGTATCCGACAAGGAGACCCTCTTTCTCCATATTTATTTGTTTTAGCAATGAAAAGACTCGGTCATAGCATTCGTAAATGCGTCGAAGAAGGAGATTGGAAGATGTTCTCTTTTGCCCGACAAGGACTTCCCATTAACCATTTATTTTTTGCTAATGACCTTATGTTATACGCAAAAGCTGATCTTCCTCATGCTAGGCAAATTGAGAAAATCCTCAACCAACTTGGGTACTTTTTAGGACACAAAGTCAATAAACGAAAGACTCATATATACTTCTCGCCTAACACTGTCACGAAAACGAAAACTGTCATTCTTTCATGTCTTGGGTTCCAAGAAGTTGACCATATGGGCAAATATCTTGGTGTGCCGGTCCTTCATAGTCGTATGAAAGCTGTGGATTTTGACTTCATCTTCGATAAATTCAGGGGTAAATTAAATGGTTGGGCAGCTCGAACTCTTTCATTGGCAGGGCGTGTTACTCTGGCTAAATCGATCCTTTCAACCATACCGACTTATTTTATGTAAGTTATGTCTTTCAAAAAAAGGGTCTGTGATGAGATAGAATCTTTGTCTAGGCACTTTATTTGGGGTTCTGAACCCTCCAGAAGGAAAATATCCTTAGTTAATTAGCATGCGGTCTGTACTCTTATTGATAGAGGAGGGCTGGGTTTAATCCGTCCTCTTGAGTAGAACAAAGCTTTCCTGATGAAGCTTGATTATTCTATTATGGTAAAGAGAACTTCTTACTGGGTCCAATTACTCAGACAAAAATATAAAATCTAGGATGCTTATCCTTTATCTATTGAAAGACACATATGCACCCCATTATGGCGAGGGATAGCAAAAACATGGAGCCAATTATCCTCATACTTGGTCTGGTTGGTGGGAAATGGAGACACCATAAACTTTTGGAATGATGCATGGGTGCCACATTTGGGACCATTATACAGTTATGCACGAGCTAACGCACATGTGCACCCAACTCAGAAGCTATACAATTTCATTAATGAACAAAATCATTGGAACGTGGAGGTGCTATCCCAAGTTCTTGTTCCAGTTGCCATACCTCACGTGCTTAACGTTCGGCCTCCTGAGGCTACCGATATATCCGATGCCCTAGTCTGGAAATAGGATCCTGAACATCAATTTATGATCAAATCGACTTACACCATTCTCATGGAGGATAGTTGGTCCGGAAAGAATAATGTTTGGAAGAATATTTGGTCGATCACCACTCTTCAACGAGTCTGCATGTTCATATGGCTTGCTTATAAAAAAAAGATCATGACAAACTATGAACACGGAAGATGAATGATGACAAATGACTGCTCATGTGCAACTTGTGGCGCAACCATGGAATCAGTAATTCATGTATTGCGTGATTGCCCACCCAGTCGAAACCTGTGGTTACGTGTTGTTCCACATTCCGCATTTGCTAGTTTCTTCGGTATTGATCTTCAATCATGGATCACACAAAATATTCAGAAGCAACAACCCGTAAGTGATGGCGATCCTCCCTGGTCATCCTTTTTTACTTCTCTTATTTGGCACATCTGGAAGTAAATGAATGACTATGTTTTTAAGGGTGCCACTTACAAAACAGATTCTACAATTCACAGTAGTTATATCTGGGCAAAATGCTATACAAATAGCTCCAAAGTCCTTTTTATATATCTGGTACAGCATGTGACAAATCCAACGTGGTCTCCACCACCCCGAGGATGGATGTCCTTAAACACAGATGGTGCAGTGGTGACACTTGATGGGGGAGGCTCAATTGGTGGTGTTATCCATAACTCTAACGGAGAATGGATTATAGGTTTCACAAAGAATATAGGCACAACATCGATACTTCACGCCGAACTTTGGAGCATTTATGAAGGTCTTCTCATTGCAAGAAACTTGGGCATTCACAGGTTTTGGATCTAATCTGACTGCAGTAAAACAGTCAAATTGGTAGGAGAAAGTGGTTCAATCGACAACCATATTCCGTTGCTTCGCGCAATTCTGAAACTTCGACAGTCATGATACTGGGTGACAAAAATCCAATGGATTAGCAGGAATAGAAACAAGATTGCCGATAGGATGGCAAAGCTAGCTTCGCAGCAACATTATAACTTGGTTCACTTTGGCTCCCCCGGAAGAGCTAGAAAACCTCCTAGCTTTAGACGCTGCTGTTGCGCAGCAAACTGATGAGAGTATACATGCATAACCTACTGTTTTAGGCTTCTTTCAATTCAAAAAAAAAACTTCACGCGTTCTCCCTCAGCCCCTCATCTCTTTCTCCTCAACCTTTCTCTCTTTTTCTCCTACGCCCGTCTCTCACGAGAAAACAAAGCCATCGTTGTCTGCCACCAAGCACCGATGATGGTCGCCGCTTCTGACACTACCCATTCCGACCACCAAATGACCTAGGCTACTCAAACGAACTGAAACACTTCAATTTCACTTCTAATATTCAAATTTTGTTTCAACGAGATCCTTAAAGAAC